AATGCCTACATCATGAGAATGGTGCACCGGCCAAACGGAACTCGAATAAGCTACAGAGCTCGAGTGAGTGACAATAATACAAGTATGTGATAATCAATAAAAAGAAAGACCATCAATCACAATTAATAAACCTCAAATATAAGTTCGTAAATATGAAAACATAGCCATTTCTCTAACATCTCCGAAGGAGTCACCCAGACATCCAGCGACTTTTCCCATTCAAACTACCAAGATTCTCAAAAACCATCGTTCATATGTACATTAAAAACTAGGGCTAGAGGGATGCAGTTCGGCCGAAGCCTACATAAGTAACCAAATAGGAAGTGAGCCCCCATAGTGGATTAACCAAGCAGAGCCATCCTACGGCTTTTCCCATTCAAACTACCAAGATTCTCAAAAACCATCGTTCATATGTACATTAAAAACTAGGGCTAGAGGGACACAGTTCGGCCGAAGCCTACATAAGTAACCAAACAAAAAGTGGCCCCTCATAGCGGATTAACCAAGCAAAGCCATCCTTGAGTAACCATGTAGGTAATGAACCCCCATCGCGGATTGACCAAGTAGAGTCACTCCCACAAATTTGTTAGGCAGTGATCACCCATTGCGGATTAACCAAGTATGATCACTCCTAAGTATACATGGCCATAAGGATCGCCCATTGCAGATTAACCAAACGTGATCCATAAATAATATGGTCTCCCATCACAGATTAACCAAGGAAGACCATCCATGTACCACTGCTACATGGTGTAGACTCGGTGACACCTAACCCCATGACTCTAGGGTAATGATCCCCTACTAGCCATCGCATTTGTCAACATTTCAAATGTATATTTATAACACAATTCATAAACATTTCAATATGCACTTCAAATCACCTTTTCACAAATATTTCCAATCCATGAATCAAATCACATTTAATAAAAATAGATCGATGGCCAATTATAAAATCACATTTTAACAGAAAACACATTTATAAAACCAAGTCATATCCAACAAGGATACTAATATAAGAAAACAGGATAATAACCATATCAAATATATTAAATTCACTCACCAAGACAAGTCTGCAAAGCCTCACTGAGTCTCTAGCAATACTAATTCTAGTAATTTAAATGATTCAATACCTATTGACCAAAGGTCAACTTCCAATCAACAGTTGGGTCCACATCCCTACGTAATTTGATCCGGAAGATCCGCACATCGGATTTTAGATCCGTAATCTTCTAAAATCTACATTATGCCTCTAGAACAACATACTAAAATTTCATCACGATCCGACGGTCGGATCGTTGATTCATATTTTGATCAAGTAATGTATCATAATGAAATTAGGTTCAAATGATCAAACCATGTCATACGACTATCAAATACAAATTCAGGACATCTAATTGAACTTAGAAAGGTATCGTTGGCCCACTGGCCAAAGCGCCGCTGCCGGTGGCGGTCGGCCGCCCCTACTCGTCGGAAATTCAACAATTTCAAAAATTACCAAATTTTACAGGCAAGTATATCTCAGTAAGGGGAGCAATTTTCATACTTGTGGCGAAGTTCAATTCGGCTGGAAGTGACTCAATTTCATCCAAACCAGCCGAAGACCCTAGAAATGGGTGTTCCTCGATTCATCGCCAAAACGAACTCCGACACCTTATCCAATGCTTGAACCTTGCCCCAAGGGTTGAGGGGAGTCTATTGGTAGTGATGATCAACAATAATCATTGTCGGAATCACCGTAAAATGAGAAAACTAGCCGGAAAACCCTCGACACTTTGTGGCTTCGACCCAGAAAAATAGAAAGGAAAAATGGGAATCTAACACATCAGGATGTAGGCCTCATCATGAGCTTTCCATGGACACCAAGATTACCCAAAATGGAAGTCGGATGAAGAAGATATGGCCGGGTCAAAATGGTGGTTCGCGGGTGAAAAATGACCCATTTTTGGGTTTCTCCTTTCCCCTCCTTACTCTTTCCTCCCATTGGTCACTCTTCCCTTCCTTTTCTCTCCTGCACCCTCATCTTCTTCTCTCTCGCGCTGCCACCTGGCAGTATCCAGTCCTTTTTTTTTTTTCCTGATTCGTTTTCCTTTTCTCTCCCATTTCTAATTGGTCCCTCACTCTCTTATGACTCGTTTACGTAACCATATCAAAATAAGAGAAATTGGATTGAGGATGAATTGGATTAAGGAGGAATTGAATTGAGGAGGAATTGGATTAAGGAGGAATTGAATTGAGGAGGAATTGGAATGAAGAGGAGTCAGAATCGGGTTCCTATTGAAACTGTTTACTTAAATATTCAGGAATCAAAATAGGAAAATATTCAGGAATCGGAATAGGAATTCAACTGACTTCATATAAGTTGTTTACTAGTTCAACTGAATCGGAATAAAAATCAATATGATTACTAAAATGCCCTTTTTTTTTGTTTTATTTTATTCTATATTTATTTTTAAAAACATTTTAATTAGCTATTTTTATTTATTTAGTTAAAGTAGAGTTAAATGTCAATTATTGTGTATAAATTAAATTATAATATATATATATATATATATATATATATAAAAGCCTAAAACCTAACCACGTTCATCTTCCCACCAACAAGAATAAACCCAGAAAACAATCAGAGCCGTCAAGACCAGACAAGCATCGACATCGCTAAGGTCACGATTACAATCGTCAAAGCAACGTCGTACAAGGATGAGCTGGCTAGCGAGAAGCACGTTTGCAAAATACTGATGTTTACGTCATCATCTCGGGGCTACATCCATGCTTTCTGTCGGCGATGTCAAAGCGTTTGCCGTTTGGTCCATCGCCTCCTAAACGATGGTGATCTATGTTCGTGAACGAGATCTCATATGCGACCCGCATGGTCTCTTTACCTATCGGATTTCATGCAGGCGCAGTTGAGATCGTTGAAGGGCAGATTGATGGGAAGGCATAATAGGAAGAGCAAATGTATTCCTGATTCCCTCACCATCCGAGAATTCAATTACCTCAATACATGGAGGGAGTCTAATTCCTTCAATTTCAAAAATTGAATTCTATTTTTCTTGTGGGTCCCACAAACTCTTGATTCCTCCCAATGTCAGTAAACATAAGAATGAGTCGTAATTGGAATTGGATTCCTTGTTATCATTCCGATTACGGGTTGGTAAACACGCCCTTATCTCATTGGTCCCTTTCCCACAAGGTGGGAGTTTCAAAATAAATTTAAAATCTATAATTTTGTAACAACTTCAAATATCCGTAACTATATCGTTAAAATTCGGACTCCCAAACGACTTCCGCCTATGTGCTTGTGGTTTCGAGATCTATTCGAAAACGTTACTTATGACCTCGAAAGGTCAACGAATCTTAAAGATTAATTACGAAAATTCAAACCCGATAACTATTCGATTTAATTCTTAAAATTTACGTAATTAAAAATTAAGGAATAAAAATAATGTAAATGTGAAATACAAATTTAAATTACGAGATACATAATGAATAGTGAAATTCCGGGGACGGGATTTCACAAAACCTCCCTTGAACTAAGTTGAAAATCAAAGTACCAAATGGACAAACAAACAAACTATGGAACTATGAATAATAAATATGAATGCCGAAACGGCTACAAACTAAAAACTATGTTGTGCTTGACCTCACAAACTATATTACAAGCAATATTTACAGAGACCTAAACCTAAGAAACCCTACAGCAACAACAACAGCAACCAAGTCTTATCCCACTAAGCGAGGTATGCTATATAATCTTAGAACGCCATTGCACTCAGTTTTGCACCAAGCATTTTGTTAGCTCTAAGTACTTCATATCTTTTCTTAGTCTCTTTCAAAGTCTTTTTAGGTCTTCCTCTACCCTTTTTGCCATCAGGCTCCATCTCATAGTCGCATTTTCTAACCGAAGCATCTGTAGGTCTTTGATTCAGGTGTCCAAACCATCTCAATGATTTTCTCTCATCTTATCTTCAATTGTGACCCCTACTACTTTACCTTGGGTATCCTCGTTCGTAATCCTTTCTCGTGTGCCCACACATCCAACAAAGCATTCTCATCGTTGTTACCATTATTTTTTCCACGTGTTACTTTTTGACTGCCCAACATTTCGTGCCATAAAGCATTGTTGGCCTTATTATCGTCCTATAGCTTTAGTGGCATACGACGATCACTCAACAAACTCGATACAATCTTCCACTTTATCCATCCAACTTGTATTTGGTTGAGATCTCCATCTAATTCCCTGTTATTTTGCAAGATAAATCCAAGATAACTAAAACGTTCACTCTTTGGTACTTCCTGATCTCCAACCGTCACTCCTATCTCATTTAGGCCCTCACTGAACTTGCATTCCATATACTCTGTCTTTGACCTACTTAGGCGAAGTCCGTTAGCATCCAACATTTCCCGCCAAAGGTTTAGTTTCACATTTACTCCTTCCTGCGTTTCATCTATTAGCACTATATCATCTGCGAAAAGTATACACCAAAGGATATCATCTTGAATATGTTCCGTTAACTCGTCCATCACCAATGCAAAGAGGTAAAGACTAAAGCTGAGCCTTGGTGTCATCCTATGGTTATGGGAAAACTTTCAGTTTTTTTGTCCTTCATAAGAACCCGTAATATGCAAAATACCAAATATACCCTAATACAAAATTAAATCAAATCTCTAATAATTTTCTAAATAAACAAATAAATTCCAACATTTTGTGGGTAGAAGAGACAAGAATATGTCAACCTAGTAAAAAGAAGTTTTCCTGTGTCCAAAATCCATTTTACCTAGGTCTTTCTTTTAAACGTAGTGATATTTTAATCATACTCTAATATACAAGGATGTGGATTCGAACTCTGGATGCAAGGGATAAGCACATTACCCTAACCAACTGGTCTGTATCCCACAACTGCTCTACACCATAATCTTTCTCTCACATGCACAAATGAGTCTACACCATTTATTTTGCTTCACAAATCGGAGATGAAAAGTAAATATGTGGTCTTGAACAGTTGAATGGCAATTTGATATCACATTTTATTGAACAGGCACTACACATAAGTAATTACGAGATAAATAGCACCCTTTCTGTTTAAAATACATATCAACTGTTAGGGTGCAGATGAGGCTTAATTTCGGTTATAAGAGATATAAATATGGTCCCTTTTTTCAAGGCTTTCTTTGACATTTGCTTTTTCACATGTCACTTACAGTTATTAGCCTCTTCGCTGCCTATTGTCTCGTATGATTAATAGTCGTGTTTATTTGCTGATGACTCCTTTTGTTGAAAGGAAGGCTTGAGCATCCATGCGTTCTACTATATGACGTGCTTCCTCCTCTGTTGCCGGAACCACATTCAGTATCCTGAATCCATTTTTTGTGGCCTTTGCCTCAGGACGTACGGTGAAAGTGAAATAAAATGTGTTCGACACCTGTTTAAAAACGAGACAGTAAAGATATACAATTATCTGAAAAGGATATTCCTCAGTGAATAGAACATAAAATTGAAAATTCCTCAAAAGTGAAATGGGTAACGGAAACTGTAGCAGTGTCAACTTCTAATGGCATTCATTTAAAGGCAAACCTAAGTTTTCTTGTTCTTTGAAAGCGCAGTTGGAGGAACATACCTCAGTAGACCTGAGTTCAGGCCTGGTAACGTGGGCAACAACTTCAATATTAATTAGAGGTTGATCGGGATTCTGAACTTCTGTGTAGAGAACACACGATTTGAAACGCAGGAAATCTCCAACGTCCACCTGCTCATTAAAACATAATGCTTCACATATTTCTAACACAGAATCGTACAAATGGAGATCTTAGCTCATTCTTCCAAAGCCAAAATAACAGGATAAAGATAATTTGGATTAAGATGAACAACAAAAAGGGAACCAGAAAATGCTTCGAAAGGGAAGATAATGATAATATGGTTAATTCTAACAATCAAAAGAATGATGTTGATGGGGTACTCACAGGTTTCAAGAAGTCAACGTGATCGACTTCTAGAAAGCAAGGCACCAAGCCTGCAAAGGCATAAGCGGTGGAGAAAGCCAATTCAAATGCTCGGTGCATCAAAAACCCTCCAAAGATCCGACCATGGATGTTTCTCTGTTGTGGTTGGCAGATCAATGAGTTTTCCAAGCAAGTATCCTTTAGAAGAATGCTATCTCTGTCTGCCAAAGCAGGCATATCACAGAAGATCCTTCCCTCAGCCAACAGTGTTTTAACTCTATTTAATTCTCCATTCTCAAACTCCCTTCTGTCTCCTCCTCCTCTCTTTCTTTTCCTCAGATTATTTCTGGCTTCCGCTTCCTCGAAAAGCAATATTTCTCTTTGAGTTTCTGGAGATAACCGATTAACTGGGGCAGCTTTCCCAGTCTTAGAATCACGGGCCACAAATATGAAGTTTGCTGAAAGAGCTACTGAGTCTGCAATGTCAGATCCATCTGCCAAAAAAGTTTATGTAAGTCTGATCAGTCAGAGCATTAAGCACAACTCTTCCCATAAAGAAGAGCATAAATTTAAAAGATCACTTTTAGAAGAGCAGGCTGATAATATAATAGTCATTTTCTAGTTGACACTGAAAGAATGACAAAATGGATCGTCGTTCTTATAACTGCCCTTTTGTAGCTTTAGTGAGTTTTGTTTCAAGATATCAAGATTACGTTAAACAGAGGCAAACCGCTTATTATTCATTACACTCAAATTTGAAGGAGACACCAGTGTCCATAAGCAAATTCTAACATTTAGAATGCAATTGCAAAATTTTAATAGAAGTTAAGCCTTACGAGGAAAATGCTGGAAAAAGTTCTGAACTTTCAAAGATTATCAGACTTCAAATATAAAGTTATGTCAAATTCATAAGTACCTGTTGCTGACTGAATAACTTCTAGTTGAATCTCAATAGATGACCGTCCAACCCATATGACAGCACCCACTATTTTCAGATCAATATCAACACTAATCGGCTTCTTCAGAACAATCTTGTCAACAGATGCCGTGACCAATAAGAGTGGCCTTGTTGTGCTATCGTTGTCACAACAGTGCTGATCCATACAAAGTTATAAAATAAAGGTGCTCATTACATGAAAAGTTACAAGCAAGAAATTCACACAGGAACAAATTTAATTCAATATGGTCATTCTTGAGTCTATATAAAAGACAAATTCAATTCAACTAGATTAAAACAACAGAGGATACATTTTGACATGCACATAACGTGAATCATTGCATTATATGAACATTTACAGGCAAACAGGTTTTCGCTGCACATGACCATCACCCGGCTTCCTAACTCCCCGTTTGCATATACATAAATAGTACCAAAATTATTCAATGCTCACGACCGTCCAAATTTGACGGCACCGATCTTTCTGTTCAACTAGCAATAAAAAGAGCAGAAACTATCTCCTGACCAAACAAGACGCCGCTCCCATGACTTACAATACCATTCTCAATACAAACAAAATCAATCAACACCTCAAACAAAAAGCACTCCAGATTATGGCAGCTCCTTAGCACAATGCAAACCTTGAAAGAAAATAATTCCTACACTTTCGGGTTCAGAAAAAAGTTGAAACACTGCGGAATATACCAAGACGGATCAATTATTTCCAAACTCCAAGGCCACAATCAAAAAACCCAAACCAGAAACTTCCTAACACGTTATAGTCCGAAAGCTCAGGCTTTACGGATTAGAAGTGCAATTCGGTCTAATCAATCACAACTTTTTTACACTAACAATCACAACCCAGTTCAAGTAATCAAATTTCAAGCAGAACCCACAAATCCAATTACACTAAACAGTACAAAAATTCTACCTTTACAGAAATGGTTCCAGCTAAAGCATCAAGGTCTTCAAGCAACTTCCCAATTCGGACCTCGTTCCAAGGATCCCTGTACTGCTCCCGCAATATATAATCCGTCGAGAAATTGTACAGAATCGAAGTCCTGCTCTGCGACGGCGTTTTGTTCAGCAACTCGCTCTGCGGAGGGGCATCTTTCGGCGGGTCCAGAAAAAACCTCTCGAAAATTTTAGACCCCGCCTCCCACAGCGCATTCGTCACAGGCGACTGGTACATTCCCGGCCAGAGGCTATTGGGCTTCCGGGTCGAACCGTTGGGCCCATCTTGGGACGGAGGCGGCTTTTCGAAAGGGGAAGAGAGGGTGGCGACGACGGGAATGGCGGCGGGTGAATTGGGATATGGAAGAGAGGAATTCAAGGCCATGGAATTTGGGGATTCTGGGAATTTGATTGCTCTCAAGTTTTCAACTTGAGTTGATTGAATTTTGAGCTCCGAATCATGTAAAGCTGGGAACTTTCAGATTTTCCGGGATTGTGGGAACGACAAGGAGTTTGCAAGGACCAATAGCAGGGAGACTATTAAATTATATTTTGTAAACTATAAAGATTGAATTATTAACATGCGTCTTTATTATCATGGGTAAGCAAGCGTGATGACTAGACGCTTATGGGAGGAGTCTTTGCACTCGGTTGGAAGACAGGGGGAGGAAAGTAATTTTATTCATACTATCATTCACACTATCTTTCTTGCACGCGTGTGAGCGCACACATAAAATATTTTTTGAATCATGACGTGCTTTGTTTGATTTACATTTTTTAAATGTATTTATATGCGTAAATTAACAAAAAGAAAGTTAAATATTTGAAGTAAATGAATAATCTTAGATCAAGAAACTTATCACAAACCAATTAAAGCAACTGAATTCACATAACAAAATCGATCTCTATAGAACTTAGAATAAGAATAGAGAAAATAATATTCAATGAATAATTGATTGAATCACATTATTACTAGCCCATTGTGAGACTAAGCCCACCCCTCTTCCCCTTAATGTAGATATTATCATTTGTTAACCAAAAAAAAAAAAAACAATCATTTGATAACTAGTTTAATCACATTATTATTAGCGTGCGAAAAACCAGCATTACACGCCTTTTAATATGTTTTGAACGTGTTTAAAAATAGAGAAAATAATATTGAATGAACAACTGATTGAATCATATTATTGCCAGCCCATTGTGAGGCTAAGCTCACCTTCTTCTTCCTTCTTAGTGTAGATAATATCATTTGTTTAAAAAAAAAAAAACAATCATTTGACAAGTAATTCAATTACATTATTATCAGCATGTGAAAGTTTTTTTTTAATAACCGACATTACATGCCTCTTAAGATGTTTTGAACGTGTTTAAAAATAAAGAAATTGAATCACATTATTGCTAGCCTATTGTGAGGTACTAATTAAAAAAAAGCAACACAAAAAAAATAATTGTTAAGAAAACGCTGTTAAAATGACAAAAATAGCCCCGCCCTATTTGATGCATTATTTTGGGATGCCTTTGAAGTTTTTTGTCTTGGGAGCATTTTTGTCTAAATATTTTGTTGGTGACACTAAAAACACTATTCACCTTTTGTGTTCTCTTTATGTATAGATTATTATTTTAGCACTATTTATTGGGTTGGTGAGAAATGTGATAGGCATGGAGATGGAGTCATGGAAAGAAATTCATTTGTGTGGACACGTTCATGAATATAGAAGAATGAGTATGGATTTCTTCCATAACTGATTTTAGTACATTTTTTTTTCATTTTTTTTTTGTATATTTTTGTTTTTACATTGGGAGGAGTCTTTGCATTAGGGATCACCTGATGACTTCGTCACGACAGTTTAACTTTTCGGATGCCAGAAAAATTCACAGAGACATTTCATTGGCCACTGATAAGTCTTTGTTGCTTGATTTCTTTTGTTTTTGAGTCATTTACAATAATTTGGTATTTTATAGGTCAATTGGTACAAAAGGAGATAAAGGAAGAATTTTTTAAGAAATGGAATGCAAGTTTGGTCAAGTGCTGGAATATGGGTGTGCAAATACATCAACTACAATAATTTGTGGAGAACAACTTCGAACGAACTAGGTAGTGAGTGATAGGAGCATATTTATGCTACTTAGTTATGTTGTTTCCTTGCATTTAGTGAGTTAATTACTATTTATTTTAGTCTTTTAAGCTATTTTCGTATGTTTTTAGGTCCTAATGGTAAAAGGAGCAAGAAAGGGCATTTTGAAGCTAAATGGAGCAGTTTTGGGCATGGATTGGATAGCTTAACCATGGAGCAAAGAGGATGGACATAATTGAAGTCAAGAAGGGCTAGGAAAGGCTAAAAATTTGGAGAAAGGAGTCCAAATGCAAAGAAGATAAGGAAATAGCAAGAAATAAAGAACCTTATCCAACCTTATCTTATCATATCCTAACCAACCTTATCCTTTCCTAACTCTAACATTATCCTATCTTATCCTATCCAAATCAGGTTGTGCCTTAAATATAGCTATTTAGGAGGGATTAGTTATGCATTTAAACACTTAAACTCAGATTCTAGAAGCATAAACCCTTTGTATGCCGCATATAGGCCATTCCTTGGAGATTTAGGAGTTGTAATCCCTTTCCTACACCTATGCCATGAGTCCTTATCCATTTAGGTCCAGAAATCTGCCCTTTATCCCTTCTAGAAGTCTAAATTCTGCCAAAAAATACCTAGTTTCTAGAGGCCCTTAATTTTTGGCGAAAATTACCTATCCCATTCCCCTTTGGTTTCTACCTAGACTTAACCCTTCTTCCATGGGATTGTGCAATCCTTTTCCCTCACCAAGTGTGCATAATTAGCCTATATATACAGCCCTATGCCGCACCCTTTAAGTCATCCATTCACTCATTCATTCATTCATACTTTTAGCCATCAAACACCACAATTCACCCTACACCACCCTAGTGCCGCAAGCAAGGAAGGAAGGAGAAGAAGACTTGTGCAATCTGCCATCCAAGGAGGGTTTGAAATCTGCCATTGGAGTGTGGAGCGTTTCTAGATGTATTCTATCCTTAGTTTTAGTTCAATGTTTATATTAATTTAGTTTTCAATTATGATGAACATGTGGAACTAACTTTTTAGTTAGATGTGAATTCAAAGCCATGATTATATGTGTTATATGAATTGATTACGTCCGGTTATTATTTCTTAAGGCATGAATGTGATTTGCTTATCTAAGTTATTAAAACTGGTTTATGTATGTGGGTTGGGGGTTAACACTTAATTTGCATGCATGAATTTGATGCTAGAGTATAAGGGGTTTCACGTAACAGTTATTCACTTATATTCATGAGTAGTGGAGGTTGCTAGTCACAATCATGTTAAGTAAATCCTTGGTATGAGTCTCATGCATTTCATAGTGATGAATGCCTTGTCAATGCTTATAGTTTTCACAAAACTTAATGACTTTTGACATGTATCTTTATTATGCGTTTCATATAGGGAACTTGAAAAAGATAATTTGGTTTAGATGCGTATTCCATCTAACTCAATGAAATAAGGAAAATCTGATGGTTAGTTGTGCGATGCAACTAACTTGGGGCGTTGTCATTCATAGTCTAAAGGAATAATAGCTGGAAATTGGTTTATATGCATATATCATGTGTGGAGAAGGACCCTCTAACTAGCCTTTCACCCATTTATTTCACACAAATTCGTTTTTACAAAGTGTTTTTTACAAAGTTTTTGTTTTAAGTTTAAAATTCGTCAAAAATAATCCCCCTTTCATTTAGTCTTCATATTTGAGTCAAAACCTGTTTTCCTTGAGTCTTTTGAGTCAAGTTGAGTTCTATTTTCGTCCAAAACACTTGTTTAGTCTCAAATTGAGTCTTTTTGATTGTTGGTGCTGTTTTAAGTGTCCAAAGTTAGTTTAGAGTCTATAGAGTCTACTTTAGTGTTTTTGAGTCTTATTTGTATTGATTAGCATCCCTAGTTAATCCTCGGTCTAGAACGATCCCTACTTACATATCTACTACAAATAGGGTTTAATTTATGTGTCAAGTAAATTTTCACATCAAATTTTGGCGCCGTTGCCGGGGATTAGCAAACTTGCTAATCCCTTTTGTTTGTGTCGTGCCAAAGTGTCTTTTGTGTGTTTTTGTGTCTTTTTGTTTACGGTTGCCGTTCCCTTTTAAAGTGGTTACTGATTTTTTTTTGTTCTTTGTCTCAGGTACTAGTTTATGACTCATCGTTCTCAACCTATTCGTGCAAACGTATTGGATTTTGACGACGATTTTGAACGAACTTTGAGAAGAAAGAGGAAGCAACCAGAACCTAATCCACCTAGTTCAAGTTCAGAGTCCAAATCTGAATTTGAAGAAGAAGAAAGCATGGCGGTGGACAATCGAACAATCAAAGAACTTTAGGCCTCGGGGTTGGACAATTCCGTGCCTATTTGCATTCAATACCCTAGGGCAGCCCCGGACAAGACCGATGAGTTTGGTATTTTGTAGGTCACTTGGTACAAAAGGAGATAAAGGAAGAATTTTTTAAGAAATGGAATGCAAGTTGGGTCAAGTGCTGGAATATGGGTGTGCAGATACATCAACTACAATAATTTGTGGAGAACAACTTCAAACGAACTAGGTAGTGACCATATATGGAAAGCTATGAGTATCTAGTTTTCATAGAATTTTACAGTTTGTGATTCCGAGGTCTGAAGAAGAATTATAGAATTTTGGTGACAACTGCTCAGTCAGAGACTTTACGCTAGTTTGTGCTAATACTAAGGTATAAGATGTGACTGACTTGTACAATGAGAATGCTTTCGAGTTACAAGTCAATGCTAATCATGTGGGCTCAAAAGATATTTACTTATTTTAACTGGGTTTACTTAAGTGTTTTGGAGTCCAAATAAAGCAAGGAAGAGAAAGGGATATAACCTTAATTTTTCCGACGGCTGTTTTATAACAAAAAGAGAGAGGCTGATGCAATTCCAGAGGTGGGGAAAGTTGAGTGACTTGCAGGAGAGAGGGGGACTGCTGTGATTCCATAATCTTGCAAAAGGCTGCCCTTTATTCCATTCATGTTCAAGACATTAGTTCTTCATCAAGTTTCAAGTATATCCCCATCTTCACAACATCACTTTTTGTCGTGTTCTATACATCATCATCATCTCATGCCTATGCTTGTATTATTTAGCATTTTGCGTATGTTGTTGAACAATTTTCCTTTGTATTTTATTTTCATGTCTAGCTAAACCTTTCATCCTAAGGTTAGGATTAAACACTTGATTTAGTTTCTCAATTTCAATGCGAACTTGATGCAACTTTCATATTTGTGTTCTTGAATCTCTAAACGTAATTTATCATTGATTATTTATACTTTGATGCTTAGCTACCATTATTCCATAGATATAGTTGTGTTTGTTTGTGTGGAGTGATCATCTTGTCTTACATAAAAGTACAACTATTTAGAGATTGCATATGCATATGAGATAGATCTAGACTTGTATGGTGT